CGACGGATCCGGGTCGAGGTGAGGAAAGGCCGGCAAGGGCGCAGAGCGCGGCTCCCGCCTGGCCTGGATCCCGGGCGAGCGTCCCCGAACCCTGGTGCACCTCCCAAGGCCACCTCCCTCCCCGCGGGGACACTCCGCCCCATCGCTGGCCCCAGCCTCCTAACCCCTTGCTCCCTTTGTCGCTGCCTGCGCACCTGCGCTCTCGCCCTGCCCTCCTACTCCTCCAGTCTTAGCCCCCCATCTCCTGGACCGGCTCCAAATGAGACGCTCTTCAGACCCCATCCTTTCCTCTTTGTCGTCTCTACACCTGTTCACCGTAACTCTCCACTCACCCCATCACCCGTACTCCAATATCTTCCCTAAATCCAGCCGTCAGCTCCATCTTCCTCCCAAGGGTCTCCCCGCTCAAAGCCCTGACTGTGCCCTACACCTGCCCCACTCCTCCCAGCCCAGGCCTTACTATCCATACTCCTTTGTTGTCTCTGCAGCTGTCCCCTATTCTTTCTCCCCCAGTGATGCCAGTCCCAGCCCAGACTCCCCCTCCTTGTGGCCAGAGACACTCCTGCCAACTCTGGTCTGCCAGCCCTCGTCTCATCAGCCCGGCCGTTTCCCTTCCTCCCAGCTGATCCAGTTGCCCAAGCCTCCCGCACTGCACCCCTGCCCTGTCTCCATGAGTCCTGTCCTCTCTGTCCCTCCTGCATAGCCCACCGCTCCATCTCCTTCTCTCCTCCCCCGACAGGTGCCCCAGGAGAGCAATGGAACTGAACAGCAAGAAGAAGCTTCACGCCCTGTCCTTGGCTGAGAAGATTCAGGTGCTGGAACTCCTGGATGAGTCCAAGATGTCCCAGTCGGAGGTGGCTCGGCGCTTCCAGGTCTCACAGCCTCAGATCTCACGCATCTGCAAGAATAAGGAGAAGCTACTGGCAGACTGGTGCAGCGGCACAGCCAACCGGGAGCGCAAGCGCAAGCGAGAGTCCAAGTACAGCGGGATCGACGAGGCTCTTCTCTGCTGGTACCACATTGCCCGGGCCAAGGCCTGGGACATCACAGGGCCCATGCTGCTCCACAAAGCCAAGGAACTGGCTGATATCATGGGCCAGGATTTTGTGCCCAGCATAGGCTGGCTGGTCCGCTGGAAACGCCGCAACAATGTAGGCTTTGGGGCTCGCCATGTCCTCACCCCTCCATTCCCTCCTGAGTCCCCGACCCTAGGCCTTATGTGCCAGGCCCAGCCACTGCCTCTTTCTCTCAAAGACTTCATCCCAGAAGATGTTTTTGGCTGTGCCGAAGTACCCTTGCTGTATCGGGCGGTGCCCGACAGGAGAGTGCCATGTGATCAGGTACAGGTGCTACTGTGTGCCAATAGTAGGGGCACAGAGAAGCGGCGGATATTGGTGGGTGGGCTCCAGGCTGCCCCAAGATGCTTCTTTGGGGTCAGCAGTGAAGCACTGCCTGCCACCTACCACCCTGACCTAAGCATCCCCTGGTCAGAATGGCTGGCACAGTTTGACCAGGACATGGGGCAGCAGGGCCGAAAAGTAGCTTTGTTGCTGGCTGCCCGAGTGGTGGAGGAGTTGGTAGGCCCGCCTGGGCTCCACCATGTGAGGCTCTTGCCTCTGGCCACCTCCAGCACCACACCATCCCTGCCCAGCTCTGTGGTCTGGGCCTTTAAGGCCCATTATCGGCACCGTCTGCTAGGCAAGCTGGCTGCAGTCCAGACCAAGAGGGATGGCGCCTCATTGACCGAGGCTGGAACGGGCATCACGGTGCTGGATGCCTTGCACATGGCTGCGGCTGCCTGGGCAAAGGTGCCCCCTCAGCTCATTTTGAGCAGCTTCATTCAGGAAGGACTAGCTCCTGGCAAAACATCTCTGTCCCCAGACATAGCCTCTGAGATTCCACCAGTCCCCACTGGGCTGAGCCAGGAAGAGTTTTCCCGATTCGTGGACCTGGAGGGTGAGGAGGTAGGACCTGGAATGTGCAAGGAGGAGACAGGCGCTGAAGACCAAGAGGGGGCCAGGGAGGACAGCTTTGAGCCCTTGCCTACCAAAGCTGATGCCCTGCAGGCCCTGGGCACCTTGCGGAGGTGGTTTGAGTGCAACGGTGCCTCCCCAGAGCTCTTTGAAAAATTCTATGACTGTGAGGCAGAGGTGGAGCGGCTCTGCTGCCTATAGGGCTCCTGGGCTGCTGCCAGAGCCCCTCTGCTGTTTCCCATGGAAATGCCTCTCCAGACGGCAGATCAGGTCTTTCCCCTGGAAATGCGCTGCATGGAAAGTGAAGAGGAGAGAGAAGTGGGACACCAAGTCTAAGCTCAGAGCAGATGTCGTCCAGGCCTTGAGAAGAGGCCCTTAGGACAGCCAGGGCGTCTGAGCCGTGTAGTTCCCGGACCTTTTGTGAAGGCTCTAGAGCTTTGGAAGGGCTGGGACTTGGGAAGGTAGAACTTGGGCTTTACAGACAGTGGCTTCATCCCTTCAATTCTATGTTCAAAACACTTCTGCTTCTGGAAATAAAGTTTTTAACTACAAAGGAGGCCAGGGTGTGATTTTCATAGGACAAGGATGCAATCTTTCCACTCAGATTTTTTGTTTTGTTTGTTTTTTGAGACAAGATTTCTCACTATATAGTTAAGGTTGACTTTGAACTCTGCGTATCCCAGGCTGGCCTCAAACTCATGGCAATCCTCCTGTCTCAGCCACCCAAGTGCCAGGATTACAGATGTGCGCCTACCGCAGCCGGCTGCATTCAGATTTAAAAACTGAAGTCTGGTGGTCCTGCTGCCGCCAATAGCCAATAGGGTCTTCTCCCAGAATCCCAGCAGACACGGCTCTCAGATGGTCTGGATCTTTAAGGCCCATTACTGGCACCGTCTGCTGGGCAAGCAGGCTGCAGTCCAGACAAAGAGGGACAGCACCTCAGGGGCTAACCCTGTGAGAAGTGAGGCTTGAGGGAGACAGATCTCAGGACAGTCCCAGCTCTTCTGCAGCTCCAGACATTCTTGTGTCAGATTGTGTATGTTGGGTACAAACGAGCGGCGGCCCCGGGAAACAGACCATAGCCAGAACTAGGCCTAGGTATTTATTCTTTCTCTTTCTCATTCATTTGTTCATTTCACAACATCTCTTCAGCCAAGGTTGCACATGTAACAAGGCTGCAAATGTGTCTTTGCTGGCAGAACCTCGAAGACAGTGACCACAGAGTATGATTAAGGATGGTGACAAAGGTTTATGTGAAGTGTGGTGGCCTCGTAATCAAAGAGACGGAGGGAAGAGTGGAAGGGGTGCTGCAGGCCAAGGAATAGGAGGCACATCAGCATGGGTGCATGGGGAAGCGGAGTGTTGTGAGGGCCCCCAGGAAAATAAGGTTCCACACCAAGGCAGCAGCAACCTGGCCCTAACAGGAAATGAAGGGCCAGGAGTACCTCACCTGGCCAACCCTCAGTGTCTGACCCATAACTGGGGCATCCCTGACCCGGAAATTGTTTACACTGGCAGATGCCCTGTGGCTCTTATCCCACTGGCGACTGGTTCCCCTCTGCCTGGCCAGCATTCTGGCACAGGGAGCCCAACCTTATGTCTTCCCATGTCCCAGGAAAAAGTCCGGGAAGGCACCCAGCCATGAGTAGAACCAGGTTCAAAGATTTATCATTTACAGATCCTGGACTAACAAGGCACAGCGCATAGGGAGGCCAGTCCTCTGTCACAGGTCACTGGAGTGCGAAATGAAGAATGGCGGGGAGCGACTAGCATGCATGGGGTTTAGGGTGTGGGTCATCTTATTTATTTAATTTTCTTTCAGTGCTAAGAATTGAATCCATGGCTTCATACATATGAAAACACTCTAGCACACTGAGCCATACCCACCTTTTCAAGAGACTGTTGCCCAGGCTGGCCTCAAATTTCTGGACCAAAGTGATCTTCCTACCTCAGCTTCCTGAGTAGCTGGGACAGCAGGTATGCATGACTACGCTGGGCTCTGTTATGGGTCACTTCAGTTTCAAGGACAAATGCCAGAATGACTCATTTGAAGAAAACAGAAAGCTGGGTATGGTGATGCACACCTTTAATTCCAGCACTCTGACCTGAGGCAGGAGGGTCACAAATTCTACTCCCAATCTTTTTTAAAGTACTGGAAGCCGGGCTTGGTGGCACACACCTTTAATCCCAGCACTCAGGAGGCTGAGGCAGGAGGATCGCTGTGAGTTTTGAGACCAGCCTGGGCTACAAAGTGAGTTCCACATCAGTCTCAACTACATAGTGACACCCTGTCTCAAAAAACCCAAAAAAAAGCTGGGGATTTAGCTCAGCGGTTCGGTGGCCTGCCTTGCAAGCGCAAGGACCCAAGTTCAATCCCCGGTACCAAAAAAGAGAAAAAAAAAGAAAGTACTGGAAATGCAGCTCAGTGAGAAGGTCCTGGTTCAACCCTCAGTACCATCAAAAAAAGGGGGTGTGCAGGGGCCTGGGGATTTAGCTCAGTGTCACTGCACCTGCCTCACAAATGCAAGGTCCTGAGTTTGATCCTTGGTACTAAATAAATAAACAAATGAACAAAGTAGAGAAAAGCATGCAGTCCAGTTTGCTTGGCAAGAGATATCTCTAAATTCCTGTCTGGAGTCAGGAAAGGTGGCCATGCAGTCCAGTTTGCTTGGCAAGAGATATCTCTAAATTCCTGTCTGGAGTCAGGAAAGGTGGCCACATCTGTAATTTCAGCACTCAGGAGGCTGAGGCAGGAGGGTCGCCATGAGTTTGAGGCCAGACTGGACTACGTAGTGAGTTCAAGGCCAGTCTGAACTACATAGCAAGACCCTGTCTCAAAAAACCAAAATAAATACTTAAATAAAATGTGTGCCTTTCTAAAATCATCCCAGTTTTGACATAGCTCTTTTAAAGAGTTGAAACCAAAATTATAGTCTCTACTGGTACAAAGCAACAGAGAAAGGACAGATCAGCTCTCTGTCCTCCCATGTTATATTCTTGTTTTATTGCTGACTTCTTCCAAGAGCTTTTTGATTTTTATTTATTCATTTTTAACACTTTTTTGCAGTAGTATGTATTGAAACCTCATGCATGCTAGATAGGCACTCTAACCTAAGCTATCTCCCTAGTCTTTTTTTTTTTTTTTCAAACAGGGTCTTGATATGTAGTCTAGGCTGGCCTTGAACGCACAGCAATCCTCCTGCCTCAGCCTCCCAAGTGCTGGGATTACAGGGATGCACCACTGCACCAGGCAGGATTTAAAGAATAACATCCCACTGTCTATATGCACCATACTTTCTTTACACATTCACTCACCCATGGATAGACACAGGGTGAGTCCATGTCTTGACAACTGTGATTAATGCAGCAATGAATATCAGGTGTGGAGGCACTCACTTATAATACCAGCACTTGAGAGGCTGAGACAGGAAGACTGGTGTAAGTTTGAGGCCAGCCTGAAGTATGTAGCAAGACCCTTTCTCAAAAAAGAAAAAAAAAAAAAGGCTGGGGATTTAGCTCAGTGGTGCCACCACCTGCCTTGAAAGTGCAAGGTGCTGAGTTTGATCCCCATACTAAAAAAAAGCAATGAACAGGAGGAGGGTGGTACATACATCTCTTTAAGTTACTGCTCTCATGTACCCTGGATAGGTATTCCCAGGAGTGGGTTCCTGGGTCTCATGATAGTGCTAGTATAAGATTTGTTTGTTTGTTTTTCTTTTTTCTTCTTTTTTGGAGTTTTAAAACAGGGTCTCACTATATAGTTAAGACTGACCTGGAACTCACTATGTAGCCCAGGCTGGTCTCAAACTCACAGTGATCCTCCTGCCTCAGCCTTCTTGCATGCTGGGATTGCAGGCATGCACCACCATACCCAGCTTAGTTTACATTTTTTGAAGGACTTTTATACAATGCATTTCCCAAAAAGGCCGAACCTATACATTTGCACCAACAGTGTATACTCTGTCCCTTTTTCTTTCTTTCCTTCTTTTTTTTTGAGGCAGGGTCTCCCTTTGTAGTTCAGGCTGGCCCTGAACTCACTATGTAGCCCAGGCTGGTCTCAAATTCATGGTGATCCTCCTGCCCCAGCCTCCCTTATAGGTGTGCTTGTCCCTTTTTCTCCACACCTTCACTAACACTTTCTATGGTTTATCTTTTGGATCATATCCCTTCTAACAGGGCTGAGGTGGTACCTCATATGGTTTTGATTTTCATTTCTCTAATCATTAGTGATGCTGAAGGCCATTGTGTATACCTGGTGGCCATTTGTATGTCTTTTTTTGAAAAATGTTTATTCAAGGTCTGTACCAATTTTTCTAATCAGGCTTTTGTTGTTGTCATCATCGTCATCATCATTGTCATCAAGTTGTGTGAGGGAATTTTATATGGGTATGGGTTGGATTTAATCTCTGACTCATTGGAATTTCCCGATTTAAATTGCTTGCCTTTGGAGGATTTTGTAGTTACTCCTTTTGGGCACGAGAGGGCGCTGCTGACGTGATAAATTAATTTCTCAGAGGCGTTGAGTACGGGAATTGAACTCGGATTCTTGCGCTTGCGAGGCAGGCGGCGGAACCACTGAGCTAAATCCCCTGCCTAAGTAGCTTCTAGTTCTCGGAAAAGCCAGATCTTATTCTTAAAAATTTACCACCACAAGGGGAAAAGCTGTTTTGTTTTTAGGTTTGCTGGTGATTGGAAGTTTTCTAGTTTTCCCTTTCACTGTTAAGTTGTGGCCTCTTCCATGATCTTGGTTTAATTTAGGAGTCTTGAGCCCAGCTTCCCGCTGGCACATGATCCCAGGTTTTCTCTTTTATTCTCTGTAGTTCTTTAGTGTCTAAGGTCATGGAATCAGCGTTTCCTCCAGGGGCAGCCCCGGTTCCCACACCTTGGTATATAGTCACTGTTTCCTGTTTCAAAATAATTCAGGGAAGTTTTCTTCTTGTTAAATTAGCAACTGTTGTTTTGGGTTTTTGTTTGTTTTGTTTTGTTTTGTTTTTGAGACAGAGTCTTGCTACATAGTTCAGGCTGGCCTTGAAATCACTAAGTAGCCCAGGCTAGCCTGGAACTCACAGCTGGGTGTGGTAGCACACACCTGTAATCTCGGAACTCAGAGGCTGAGGCAAGAAGATCACCGTGAGTTGAGTTTTGAGGCCAAGCTATGTTACATAGGGAGTTCAAAACCAGCCTGAACTACAGAGTGAGACCCTGACTCAAAAATAAACAAATAAAAGGGCTCAGAAACAGGGAGAGGGCTGCTGGGAATGCAGCTTAGTGGTAGAACACTCCCTGGAATGCATGAGGCCCTGGGTTCCATGCCATGCATCAAAAAAGAAAAGAAAACAAAACTAAGGACCAAGAATTTAGCTCAGTGGCACCACACCTGCCTCGCAAGCGCAAGGTCCTGAGTTCTGTCCCCAGTACCGAAAACAAAACAAAACAACTAAACTAAACATAGTCTGTACCCACTGATGTTAGGATCTAGTCTGCAATCTACTTGAATCCACTGCAGAGTGACCTGAACTCTTGAAATTCTTCCATTTA